TAGAGGCGACATTCTTAAACTGGAACGGTTCCCGAGTTATCGCGTCGATCTTCCTGTTGCCTATCGCAATCACAGATGGGGCTTCATTACATAGATTTGTTATCGATGGTGTACGTAAGAGCAAAATCCGATTTTGAACTCTACCAGCAGTATCAGTACATGTATGGATGTACGTGCATTTATGAGTGACTATAGGTCCACTATCCACGCAAAGATGTATATCACGTCTTCATATTATGCTATTGAATTCAACCTCTTTTCCGGCACATTCTCCGAGATTCCAATGGGACGCTATAATTCCACGCTACGCATAGTGAGTTCAGATTTCCACAGTTATATTACCAAAGATTTAACCATGTTAGGTTTGCTGAACATTATGAATTGTCCTACCAGAAAGGTCACATAACTAGAACTAAGTTTTGTGATAAATATAAACGTTGTTCGCGCAAAGTGTCTCTGGCTTATAAGGACGTACGATCATGTAATTATTGAAGTTACCCTTACGATTTACATCAAATCCAACCGCAGTCATTTTACGCAGAGCCCCAATCTTAAACAACGGGGATGGAAATGTTACTGAGATTCTCTCCCGAAGCTCCGATATCTGAATGTACAATCGAGTTAAATATGTTCTCGCTCTCGGATCCGTCAACATTCTGTGATCACCTGGATAGAAATTTGAACGTCCAGTTTGATGGATGTTGTTTGTGGGCGACATTTTTTATTTCCTTTATCCAGAATCGTCCACTTCCGAAGTTGATTCACAACTACACTGTCGTATTCCCTGGTTCGTTTTTATCCAAGCTCATCATGAGTGGAATGAAAGAACCTTAGTCTCAACTGTTCACTGTATGGTTATGTATGGCAGACCAGGGTTGAATCACATACGACCAGAGTAACCTTGAGCAAGAAAAATAATTTTGATCCTTAAAGTGACACGAGCACAATAAATGAATTTTATATCTTCCTCACAAACTGTCCGGTTTGGAAATAATATGATCTATACACTGGAAAGTCTGAGAAAGGAAGGTTGTATTTATTGGAATGCCCCCACTCGAGGTCCAGTAAACTTTAAGTTTGTTTCCAGTATGGGACCAATCTTGTGAAGCCATACATTGACAATAAGATCGTGAAGATACAAAGAAAATTCTTCCCGTTTGGTGAACACTTTATCCGCCTTTTGTGTTGTCCTACTAGATTGCATGCTCCCTTACTTGCTTGCCTGAGGATGCTCCCGTAAACGGATTTTTTGCGTGCTGTGTTCGCGTTCATTCGGAACACGACATTGCCCAAGGTCCAACAACCACACATACACAGAAACGATGGATATGTGCATCCTCAGTTGTACTGTGAGATGCGCGTAGACCGATGCCTTCGGAATACAGATACGATGAGGCATGAAGATGTCTTAAACGTCAACTAATTCAGCACCTGGGAAACGACCTCGAACAGTGGTGGACTGCGAAGTGTAAGGAGATGTAAGAAGTTGCGGCTTTCAGCAACGGCCTAAATTTTTTTCTTTTAATTAGAAAATCCGATCCGCGTAAATCAGACCTGAGCAAATCGACCAGAGACGAACGGCTCACTGATTTGGACTCAGGAGAGTCGCCTAACTCGCTGGGCGGAGCATTTCAAGAAGTAGTTTAATTTGCCTTTATCCTCGACAGGTTTGCTCATTAGCGAGATGGTTACGGCTCTATCTGTAGATACCGGTCCTCCATCAGAAGCTAAGGTTCTACGTGAGATAAGCTATCTTAAAAGCCAAAGGCTGTCGGACCGGATGAGTTGCCCCAGTCTGTTTTCAAACAAGGTGGCTCAGCACTCCCAGTGGAAACGACAAATCTGCTCGATTTGATATGGGAGAAGGAACAAGTTCCAAAGGGTTGGTGTGAATCGGTGATCGTACCGCTTTATAAGAAAGGCGACAAGTCTTCCTGCGGAAACCGTAAAAGAATAAGTCTAGCTAGCATCACATCTAAACTGCTTGCTGGTATTATTCTCTCATGCTTCTCTAACGCTCGCGAACAGTGCCCGTGCGAAGACCAGGTTGAGTCTAGACCTGGTCGAGATTGTACTGATCACATCCTCACTCTTCTACTAATTTTAGAACACAGGCACACTTCCCGAAGGTCTACTATCTCCGTTTTTCTTGATCTTAAAGCTGCCCTCAACTCGAGTGACTGCACATTTCGCTGGTACTGCTCCTAGTTGAAGAGTGTGCCAGAGAAATTCATTTGTATTATAACGTCCCTTTACTTGAACTGTCGGAGCTGAGTTTGAGCTTACGATTATTTTCCACCCAAGTTCACCATAAAAAGTGGAATACTTCAGGATTATCCCCTTCTTCCTTTTTTCTCTAACTTTGTGGTTGATATGGTCCTAGAGACCGCACTTTTGTCAGGTGATGTTAGTGGCATGGTACTTTTCCCGTGTGGAAGAGTGTCAGAACTTAAACATGCGGAAGACATAGTTTAAGGATTGTACCTAATCTGCCAGTCGTACTGTTGGGTCCAAAATTCTGTGAACAGAACGAATGTACATATGCACGGCACAACTTGTATTCAGGCTCAAAGTTTTGCAAGCGCAAGCGTTAGCATGTCAATCGGACAAAAGCAATTAATCGATATTAGTCACACATGGAGCCAGCTGCGTGTGATTGGTAGGGAAAAGCGAAGCAGAGCGTAATACAGAGAGGCATCGCGTGTGCGAGTGCAAGGCGAATGTGTTTGGAATGAATCACAAACGAAAGTCAATGCCACATGAATTAGCGTCACAACACCGTTGGCACACAGTTGGTACAACGTTTAGGAAACTGTCAATAATCACTGTTCAATGCAGGCCACCAAGAAGTAAGCCGGGCCAAGGATTGCATCTTTTCGGTGCATAGATATCCGGAATGCAAACCAGTCAGATAGGCTTACAGCAATGTAGGTGGTATAATTATTCAATCATTGAAACAAAGAATACCATCACAAGTTACAAAAATACCTTCGGGACGCTTGTAAAACTCCGGGAATCGACGTTTGATATTCACTTCCTTACCATGTCGAACGCAAGACAAAATGGCATGATAATACTTCCGGGTTTCACGAACTAGATCGGATCGGTCTAGAGGAATTGGCTGGGTAAACAAACAGTCAGAGGAGGTTTACTCCGGAGTGGCGTACCGAGACAAATAGTCCGCATGAGAATATCATAGAAGTATGCGCTAAGAGAAACATTCTACCGTTGAACCATGGCTGCGAATGATTGCGCTAACTAAGTGTATTTGAGTAATCGGGTGACTGCCCGAAACACAGCTAGAGCCTCACGTTGTGTCTGTGAATATCCACGTTCTTCAGGACTAATTCTACGCGAAACGCACAGTACTGGATGACCATCCTGTTCGAGCACAGCGTTGATGCCAGTAGGAGAAGCATCCGCGATGACAGTAGATGGTAACCTGGGTGAAAATGCATGCAAGAAGGCATTGGTAGAAAGAAAATTGAGCATCTGTCGAAGCGCACTTTCATGTACAGGAGACCACTTAAATGATTTTTGTGAACAAAGGTCAAACAAGGGTTTTACTTTAGAGAAAGTGTCTCGGATGAATCTGGAATAATACTGCAGTGAACCCAATAACGAAAGGAGTTCTTCGAAAGACGTATGTGTACGTGAATGTGATAAAGAAGAAAAACGGTCAGGACCGGGTTGAAAACCATGTTCGTTTACCAGATGTCCTAAACACGTGAAATGAGTGGTTGAAAAAACACATTTGTCGGGATTAATAGCAACATTATGTATAAGGAACCTTTCAAGCAACAAACATAAACGTTCGTCATGCAATTCCCTGGTTGGTGCGTGAATAGTGATATCGTCTTGATGTGCGGCGACACCTTGCAAACCAGAAATGAGAGAATCAATGGCATTTTGGAAAATTCCAGGTGACACACTGAGACCAAAAGGGAAAAAGCTATACTGAAATATTCCAGAAGGTGTAGTGATTGTTGTGAACTCACGGGATTTTTCTCAAGTGGTATCTGTAGAAATGCATCCTTGAGACCCAAATTGGAATAGAATTCTGAGCTATGGAACTGAGGTGGAAAGTCTTCCGGTTCCATCATAGAACAGCTGGTCTGCTTCAGGAATTTATTCACAGTAATGCCATGATCTCCACAAATTCTCGGAGTTTTCCCATCTCTAGTCAATAGGGTCACTATTCGTGTAGCCCACTATGACGCACTCACTTGTGTTAGGACACCTTTCGCGACCAACTGGTTGATTGCCTTCTGCGCTGGTTCACGCAACCCCAAAGGCAATATCCGACGTTCAAGAAATTCCGGCGGCTCCGATACTTCGAGAACAGCGGGTGCCATCTCGATGCCACCTGAATCCCTGGAACACTCGAAAATCAACTTTCGATGACGGGAATGATGATAGTCAGAGAAGAACTACAAAGAAGCGTGAATTTTCTTCATACAAGTCACGAGACAAACATTTTGGGATAAATTAATCTCATTTAAGTTCACCAATGGTTTATGAAATCAGAAGATGAGAATAAATGCAAATTCGTGTTTCCTGAGGATTGTGCTCAGCCATTCTGCGACACGTTTGGGGAAGAATCTCGTGTCATCAAGAGTCCGGTTGTGAGAATTAGCAAAGACATCAGTGTATAGATCATATTATTTCCAAACCGGACAGTTTGTGAGGAAGATATAAAATTCATTTATTGTGCTCGTGTCACTTTAAGGATCAAAATTATTTTTCTTGCTCAAGGTTACTCTGGTCGTATGTGATTCAACCCTGGTCTGCCATACATAACCATACAGTGAACAGTTGAGACTAAGGTTCTTTCATTCCACTCATGATGAGCTTGGATAAAAACGAACCAGGGAATACGACAGTGTAGTTGTGAATCAACTTCGGAAGTGGACGATTCTGGATAAAGGAAATAAAAAATGTCGCCCACAAACAACATCCATCAAACTGGACGTTCAAATTTCTATCCAGGTGATCACAGAATGTTGACGGATCCGAGAGCGAGAACATATTTAACTCGATTGTACATTCAGATATCGGAGCTTCGGGAGAGAATCTCAGTAACATTTCCATCCCCGTTGTTTAAGATTGGGGCTCTGCGTAAAATGACTGCGGTTGGATTTGATGTAAATCGTAAGGGTAACTTCAATAATTACATGATCGTACGTCCTTATAAGCCAGAGACACTTTGCGCGAACAACGTTTATATTTATCACAAAACTTAGTTCTAGTTATGTGACCTTTCTGGTAGGACAATTCATAATGTTCAGCAAACCTAACATGGTTAAATCTTTGGTAATATAACTGTGGAAATCTGAACTCACTATGCGTAGCGTGGAATTATAGCGTCCCATTGGAATCTCGGAGAATGTGCCGGAAAAGAGGTTGAATTCAATAGCATAATATGAAGACGTGATATACATCTTTGCGTGGATAGTGGACCTATAGTCACTCATAAATGCACGTACATCCATACATTTACTGATACTGCTGGTAGAGTTCAAAATCGGATTTTGCTCTTACGTACACCATCGATAACAAATCTATGTAATGAAGCCCCATCTGTGATTGCGATAGGCAACAGGAAGATCGACGCGATAACTCGGGAACCGTTCCAGTTTAAGAATGTCGCCTCTAGTTACATCGAGGAGTCAGGTTTGTTAGAGGAGAAGGGCTGCTACTTGTGCGTATTTTCGAAGATGCACAAGTCCATTATGATCAATTTCCAATAAGGGAATAATGGAAAGTTGTCCAATGTTTAAATAATTAATTCGAGTTGGGCAGATGGGACGTGACACGGTCTGAGGATATGTTTACGAAAAGTTGAATTGAGCTCGCAGTCGAAATCCGTACAGCCAATTGTAAAGTTCAGTCATGAACGTCATCATACGGATTATAATTTTATGCCAACAAACGATTGGTTTTGACTGGCCAAATCCGAAACGCTATAATTTGTTGCTTACTTCCAAACTGACCGTTGGCACAAGAAAAATTGGGTACAGAATATTCGTTTGCTTTGGAAATGTCAAACTTTCCTGTTCAATGACTGATTATATTACTGCCAAAGTCCCTAAAACCACTAAGAGAGAATTTTCTTTACCAGAAGATCAGTTAATTTCGATTCATTTTAACCACCATTTGCGTAATTGTTTGCACACAATCTAATGACATGTGGTCCTAATGGATAAGACCGAACCAACTAAATTTTAATTGGTTCGGTCTTTTAGTTACTAAGAGAAAGCAGTCACAGCTATGTGTATACTAACCAAAATAATTGGCATTGAAATTTGCTGATAGGTGACAATAAAATTCTAAATAATTTTGTCCGTTTTATGCAAAATCTCGGATTTATTTCCTGACAACATAAGGGAAAAATGATAAAGGCTGACGGTGTCCAGTAATCTCAACAGATATTCTCCTTATTGGAGTTGTAGAACGTGTGCCACACGGGCAAATCATGCACTCGCATAACCGCTTTGCGTGATAAGCGGCCTGGGCGCACTTCGAGGAGCTGGGATAAAACGTGTTCATCACGTTCGTACATACGTATACAGACACGTACATACTCGCACACAGTTGCCGTTGGGCATCGATACTTGCGTTGAACGTGTACGTCTGAGATCCACACGTTCTCCATATTATTGTGCGCGTGGTGTCTCGGGAACCAATGAGCAGAACGACCTTGACAAACTAAGAGAAAATAGTACAAACGGTGGCAACTCGTCAGACAACCAAGCTGGCATGACTGAGCACAGACGGCGTTATAAATATGGAAGATAATGAGACGCTTGATAAAGGGAGAAGAAAAGGGCGCTGCACTGAAATTTGGAGGTGATTAACATCAAGTGAGTTTACTTAGATTGACGGAAATTTCTATTTGGCTCACGGCGAAACACTTGCCGGTTACGCAGTGAATTTAGACGTGAATAGGTTATCCTGATATCATGCAGGATTGCCCGGAAACCTCCAAATGCGATAAGTAAAAACAGAGATTGTTCATTTAATGAAACTGAGGTAACACCCGCTAAAGCTAGACAGTCAATATTAGAATCCCAAATCAAGTGACAAGAAACTAGATAAACGGATCAGCTTATTTTTGTAATGAAATACCATCATGCAATTTGAAAGCATTAAACTAGATTTAGATCGTTGTTACAAGGTGATGAAAATGAAAGATATGTTTCCAGAAATAATCAATACAATCATTTATTTTTCATTGCAGTCTGATCCATTCCTAACATGTCATTGATTTTGGGCAAAGAATTGATTCGATGGAGTATTTACCTGGGTATTCCAGTCCTATCGTTGGAATGGATTAATAGTCGAGACAATCGTCTTCGTCATACTATGGCACAGCGTATGGCGCACATTGAACGGTCTGGGGTATGTGTGATGCTTAGATTTGACTTGATTTAAGTAGTGATGTTGGAAACAGGGTAAATTTTGTCACCATCTGATTATTGCGGTTCACATTTTCTGACTTCCTTTGTATTCACTACTATGATCAGTTTGATACAGTCGATGGGTTTGCCATATAGATTCGAGTAATTCTAGATTCATTTGCTTCAGAATCGCTTTCTTTCTCTTCCCCGTATTTACAGACTGACCTGTATCCCCAATGTGAGATATCTGTGGCAGAAAGTGGAGATTGTCCCCAAATGCTACCACAATGATTATCTGACAAAGGAATTTTCACAAAAGTGCATTTGTCTTTTCATTTCGGAAGCCCTGTACAACAGCGCTCGTACATGTTGGTCCTTATCTATTGAATTCTGATCATCATTTGTGCCAATATGTACGGCAATTCTCCTTCTTCTCCAAAGTCCGTATCACATTTTGAAACTAGACATGATCATGGCTGGCTAGCCTTTTCTACTAGTCCGTTGCCACTAATGACCACGGCCATGTCTACACCAGAGAAGGAATATATAATCGAACCATATTGTTTTCAGTTGCCCATGCTGTCATTATTCACTACTATCAATGAAATTTGATGATACTTCAGCCTAGATTATGTCCACAGTTTGTGGTTCGTCTTACTCGTGTATATACTTGTGTAGTTGCTTTTCGAAATAAATCTTCTACCCACTTCTCCCTCACCTTCTACTGAAATAAATGGGTCTGTTGTTGTACTTCGGCCTTATCGGTGATGCGAGCTGATGTGTGTGACAGAAGATGTAAGATGGGGTGCTGACTGGTCGTAAATGACAATCATGAGATGGGGGTTCTCAACTCAATTAAATTGCAACTGACTACCTTTCATAAACAATGTACTGACGGAGATCAAGACAAACGAATGAAAGCGTGGAGAATTGAGCTCACGTGGGGGAATTCCCTGGAACCGAGTCTTGATCAGCTATTGAAGAATAGGACAAATCATGAAGCTGTCCCATCATGGGCTAGAAACTGTAAATCAGATGTATGTACACGATTATATGAAAATCAGTTATAAATACCACCGTGCAATAATCATGGCCTATTTCCTACCAAATGGCATTCAGACTTAAATCTGATACGAATCAAGTGGATTTGCCGTTCCAGTCAATGGAATAGAATGATCAAACCTGGTAACTATACTGATGCACGAAATTTTCAAGTCAAACAGAAATGTAAGTTCTATGACTAATTAAAAACGATATTTTACAGAGCGCATCATTGACGTGCCACTTCGGATATTCAAACAGTCTGTGACTTTGTCTACACATTTCTCCGACTCGCTTCAGCAAACGATCATGATTGCACGAAGAACAAAGTACGAAGTAGGGTGGAAACAGAAATACAACCAATAAACTAGTAGTCAATGTAAACAAGATTTATCGGGTGGTAATTTTGTGAAAAGTGATGGAAGCTTTGGCCGTAGCGATATTCAAAACTACGCATGAAAGCTATCGACGATCTTGTATCGCATGAGCTACGAAGTCCTGTGGAGAGCGTCGAACAATTCGAAAATGGATCAGACAGATTACCTGTTCAAAGTACTTCGGCGCATATCATCCGCCACAGAGAGTAGGAGTTTTAAGTTCTTGCAACAGGATTTTCCCATGAATAAACTCGTTTAAAGTAGTTTCATAGATGGTCATTTTTGGCTGCTAAATGAGGTCCATGAGCAGATTTCACTAAGGAGAATCTTTTCCTTGATAAGTATGAGAAGTGGTATATTCAAAGTGGGTATTCAGTGACTGTGTGACTCGTGTGATGGATTCGAACACTGTGCGAATAACGGTTCACTGTTTGCGATGTTCTCTGGAATAATGTAGTATTATCGAGCACAGGACACGGCAGAATTAGAACACATACATGGGACCAACATACCGTAGTATCTCGTATGTAGCGCAGAAATCCGTACAATATTTTGGTAAGTGAACACGACAGGAATGGTAGAAGTCCCTTGTATAGTGTCTCATGAATAGCACATGAACCTTCTAGCAATAAGTCTATTTGATATTTAATTTCCTTCCTCTGATATTTCGGAATCCATTTCTTACTTCTGCCCGTGCCTTTACGTATCACTTTTCGTGTTCATTTCTGCCCTGCCCTTAAGTGAACATGGTTTTACATGCGTCGTTCCTTTGAGTGATTATCAGGGCGATTCACTCTTCAATTACGTGGAGAGTGGTATCCTGCAGATAGTTTTTCTCTGATTCTTTAATAAGTTAAATAATCTAGTCTTCAATTTCCAACCTTCATTTGCCAAAAGACTGATACCAGTGACCAAAAGTTAGATCACATTGTTACAGAAATATTTTCCTGAAGTCGACTTTTGTCAGCTTCAGTACAACGTTTGGTCTGCTTGTAAAATAACTTGCGAATGCGTATAGAAATCACGAGTGGAAGGAAACCACTTCTCCATCAAGCACTAGCCAATATCAAACATTTAGTGAGTTTGATCTTCACCGCATAGCTGAGGTCATTTCACCTGCTTTGTCTCTACTCTTTAATTAAGATGACAACACCGTCTATAATCCTCTTTCGAGACAGAAAGCGAGATAGAGCAAACGTTTTCTGACAGAAGTACTATCGTGTGCGAGTACCGTTCGAGATCCGTACGTACACAAGGACGTCAGTAAATCGAATTTTTCCCAAATAATGTTGCACGTTTTCAACCCACCGGTTTAAGGTGCAGTACGCACTTTAATTACTGGTTTGAATGCGTGTCCGTTGTCCCACCCGTCAATATATAAATTATTTTAGGAAGAAGACTCATCGAAATGACGATAGTTTTTCATGGGACGTCAGTTAAGGTGTTGAGTGTAGAGGACAACTGAATACAAAAATAAATAATGAAAAATACAAATCGGGAGGAAAACTTGAGCGACTCTATCGAATCGGTCCATTTCACCCAGTGAGTACGGTGCGACTGGGTTAGTTGTCTTTTCTCTCTTTATTTGAATCAGATCAGAACTGGTTTTTATCACTCGGTGTCTATCAATTTGCTGATTGGGTCCCGTATTAACTCGTTTTTCACCAGTGCAATAGATTTTTCGTTTGTCAGTGTCAGATGAGGTTAGTACTGTCGTTGTGCGGAATAAAAAAGTGATAGTAACATCACCGTTTGTCTTGTGTGCAAACTCATGATTTGGAGTAGCACAAAGCAGCTCATATCGTTAAATCTCTTTGGTTTCGTAAACCCGTCTCACCGATTTTACCAAGACTAACATGGCAGTTAAGCATGAGATTCATGACTACAAATCTCAAACGCAAACACTATGGATTACAATAACTTTGAAATAAATCATTTCTTCAGCGGTCTGGTATTTCTTCCTCTGCTTTTAGCCAACGAAATATGGGTAATACTCTTCTGCTCAGGTAATTGGACCCATATCTCCACAAATAATTGGTTTATCGTTTACTCGATGACTACAGGATTTTTAGTGCCATTTACTTTGTGTTCTACGGCAGTTCAATTGGGATGCCAACCCGTCAAACGTGTCTATATCGTAGTTACACACATGACACTGGTTTACCTGTCAAGTATTTGGGTAATTACATTTCTTCATTTTCTTTACCATTTACAAACATTTGGACGGAACTACTCTGCTGTTCGTCAACGTTGAATTGTGAAACAGCTTGTGTGCTTTTGAGAATCACCTTAGAAACTACGCTAAAATCGGGTTATTTCTTACTCCGTGTGATTTCGCGATTTCTACGCTCACATTAGGATCCAAAATGGACCATTTTAAGATACTGCCGAGTTGTGATCGGAAAAAAAACAATCCGTCATAAGGATGGCAACAAAGGTAATCTGTATTCACCTCAGATGAAATTATAACTCGCTTTGGGTTTTGATAATGTCTTAGTTTTGCGGTTTAAGTTCTGATACATAACTTCAAGTCTATCCATTCTCATTGAATATTGACGGTGAATTCCAGATGATTTATCAATAAACGGTGTTATTACGTAAAGTTCGGCACTCATTAGCAATTCGTCCCATTTAATACAGAAAGTCATATACATATTATATACTCAGCTCCCGAGCCTATGTTTCACTCTGACTAATTCAAGTTGGTGCTTTCTCATTGTGGTTATTATACCCATAAGGTGTGATATACAACTAAATTATCTTCACTCCGTTAAGCAAACGCGCTGAATATGAAAAACGAGCGTTCCGATTGAGTAAACCAGTACTGTCCGAGCCGCTTTCTATTCCTCCTATTGGTAAGTAACCAATGAAGCTAATCAATCGTATACACAGAGAACAGTTACTGTGTATTATTAAAATCATGGATATTCAGTTGCGATATTCGAGTCCAACTGACGTTACTGTGATAGCTCATCTGGTAGAACCACTGGCCTGTAAGTGGACGGTCGCCGGTTAGTTCCCGGCTCTTGACATGAACAATATAATTGGATCCACGTTATCCCAGCTCCCCACACTGACATTAATTTATGTATCCACAGGCATTCGGAGGCTGGAAGGATAGCTCGAAGTCGTCATTCTCAGTCACATGAAAAATACCAAAATCGCGGGCGAGAAAGCCTCCCAGTGACCACTATTACGCACTTCTAATCTACTGGTGACTAATTTTCGAGACAGTACTTCAGCTTGTCTGAATCATTTTGCAACTCATATTAGTGGAAGAGCCTCCCGACAGCACTTCGTAGCTTGCCGCGCACATCAGTCTGGGTGAACTATGAAGTCATAGCACCGAACTCATCCTAATTCGACCCGATTTGACACGAAGAAGGCCAGTTTGAAAAAATACAAAAAACTACGTATATGAACAAACCAAATGATATA